TATGGGCATGTGACAGTTACCAGAGATGACGAGGGTAATGTCACCCTAGCAACGGATGATGGCCAAGTGTGCTGGGACGCTGCTCGTAAGAGATGGGAGCTGACCTGGAAATGGCAAAGTGGGAGCGAGCCTCAGTCGCCCGTTGGCTGTGGCATAGGCAAGTACTCTCGCTCGAAACTGACTGATGAGCAGGAGACCCTGTTCCAGCAGGAGGTCCGGACTTGGATTGACAACGGCTGGCTGCAGCCGTATGATGTGGACCAACATGGCCAGCCCAAGTGTGTGCTGCCTTTCCTTGCTCAAGTCCAGGAGCACAAGTCGTCCACTCCAGTTCGCCCTTGCTTGGACTATCGCAGGCTGAATGTCTGCATCATCTCACATCCTGGCTCAGAAGCACCTGCCTGTGGTGAGAAATTACGGAAGTGGCGGCAGGCTGGACCTGCATCTGAGTACGTTCTCCTGGACATTCGCAAGGCCTACTTACAGGTCCATGTCGCACCATCATTGCTGCCATACCAGGTTGTCCTCGTCGACGGCCAGCGTTACGTGATGGAACGGATGGCGTTCGGTCTATCCATTGCCCCCAAGTTCCTAGACATCATAGTGAAGTGGGTCTTGCGTGACGTGGTCGATGCCGACAACTACGTGGATGATATCCACGTGCCGCGTGACCGTGCTGCCGAAGTGTCCTCTCAGCTTGCTGCGTTTGGTTTTGAGACCAAGCCTGCAGAGCCATTGCCTGATGCCCGTGTTCTGGGCTTGCAGCTCCATTCTAGCGCCACGGGTGAAGTCTTGTGGACCCGTCGTCAGGGTGTTGATCTGTCTGTTCCACCCACGACTACGAAGCGGGAACTCTTCAGTTGGTGCGGTCGGGCGCTCAGCCATTATCCCGTCTGCTGTTGGCTTCGTCCGGCCTGCAGCTTCTTGAAGCGCCTCGTGTCTGGCCAGTCCGCATGGGATAAGCCTGTCTCTCCTGAAGTACAGCGGTTCCTCCAGGAACTGTCCGATCGCTGTGTGCGAGAGGATCCTGCTCATGGTACGTGGCATTCTTCCTCTACTGGTTCTGGTTTTGTTGTTCATTGCGATGCCTCTGATGTTGCTATTGGTGTTGTTTTGGAGTGTGATGGTTCTGTTCTGGAAGATCGTTCTTGGCTCCGGCCAAAGGACGACCGGCGTCATATCAATCTTGCTGAGTTGAATGCTGCCTTGAAAGGCCTCGAGCTGGCTATTGATTGGAATGTCTCTTCTGTTGTGCTCAAGACAGACTCTAAGACTGTCTTTGGTTGGCTCCAGGCTGTGTTGCGCAATACTGAACGGGTGCGAGTTAGTGGTTTGCAACATGTCTTGGTTCAACGTCGTCTGCAGATCTTTACAGATTTGATTGAGGCATCCGGTATTTCGGTCACAGTGGAATGGGTGCCAAGTTCTGAGAATCATGCTGATGTACTGACTCGTGTTCCGCAGCCGTGGGTTGCTCATGCTAAGAAGTTGTGTTCTTCTGCTGATGTCGCTGCTTCTGCCCCCTCTTCTACACTTTCACATCCATTGGAGTTTGACGTGTTGAAGTCTGGTCAAGCTACTGATGATGCTATCCAGAGCGTTATTCGCGATTTGTCTCGTGACGTCTCTGTTTCTGATCCGTCGTTCTGCAAGTTTCGTAAGCAGTTGTGTGTTATTGATGGTCTATTGTGTCGCACTTGGCGTGACCCCGTCGACGGTGAGGTACTGGTTCCTGTTGCACCGCAATCCACCGTTCCCGCTTTGATTACTGCTGCTCATGCCAATACAGGTCATGGCAATTGGGAAACTATGTGGCGTTCTCTGTGTCAGTCTTGTTTCTTTCCAGGTATGTCTTCGCTATGCCAGGCCTATGTGCGTAATTGTCAGGCCTGCCAGGCTGCCAATCCCCGCAGTGGTCCACCAGCTCCTGCTGTTCAGAATGACGTTCCTGTCAAGCCGTGGGACATTGTCCAGATCGATACACTGGAGCTCGGTGTCAACCAGACCGGTCAGTACCATTGTGTGTTAGTGGTTGTCGATATGTTTTCCCGTTGGGTCGAGGTGGTACCCTTGCGGCGTCATGATGGTCGCTCTGTTGCAGAGGAATTTCTGCGTCTCTGTTTGAAGTTTGGTCCGCCGCGTGTGGTGCGTTGCGACAATGGTCATGAGTTCCGCAATGCTATTGTGTCTTCTTTGTTGGATGTGTTTGGTGTTTGCGTTCGTACTGGTGCGGTCCGTCACCCTCAGTCACAGGGTGGCGCCGAGAGATTCAATCGTACTATTCTCACTCTTATTCGCAAGGTGTTGGATACTGCTGCCGATTGGCTAGCCGAGCTAGAGATTCTCCTCTTCTTCTACCGTACTCGTCCGCATAGTGAATTGAAGATTTCTCCCATGCGTGCTATGTTTGGCTGGGAGCCTCGTGCTCTATTTGTGGACGGTATACCATCTACTCTTTCGTCCTCTCTTTGGGTTGATGGTGTGTGTGATAAGGCTGCTCGGGTTCACGACTATTTGACGGCGGTTGTTGCAGAGCACGCCCCTGCGCCTGTTGTTGAGTCGCCTTCTTGTCCGTATGTTGTTGGTGATCGTGTTCTATTGCGTAACCCTGATCGTCGCCAGAAACGTCAGCCCCCGTTCGATTCTGGTTGGTCAGTTAAACATGTTATTGGTCCTGCCAGTGTTGTGATTTGCCGTGTGCATCCTGAGTCAGGTCGTCGTCAGGAAAAGGTGGTCAATGTCGAGCTCTTGAAGCGTGATGTTGGTTTGGTTGTTCCTGATGTGCCGTGTGCTCCTCTAGTGCCCCCGCCTGATGTTGGCGATGTTCGCGTTGATGGTCCTCGTGATGATGGTGATGATGATGGTTGGGTTTGCTTGGACATTTCCCCCCCATCTGATCATCTGGTTGGTGGTCATTCATTACGTCCCCGTGGTTCTCTGCAGCCCCCTGCTCGCTATCGCTAGGCATCTGTCTTCCCTGCTGTATGTCATTACATGTATGCCCCATCCAATGTTATCAGGTGGAGGGGTGAAAGGGAACTATGGTGTTCGAATACTTATGATAACATTGTGTATGCATTTACAATTATTATTCACGGTTTGCTGGAGTTACTTACGTGGTTTGTTATATTCTTGCTCAGTGAAGTCCCTCTGCAGAATAACTCTACGATGTGTCACTATCTGACAGGGTTTACTGTCATCCCGTATCGGGTGCAAGCACCCACTGACAGATCAAACACTTTTCTTTCCTCATCTTTGATCTTTCTGTCTTCGTCCTGCTCACTACTGTTTGTCGTTCGAATTTCTGATTTATTTATTTATTTTGCTTCTGCATTTCTGCATTTGTTTTGCACCATGTTTTCCATGGATACGCGGGCTGTGCGCAGCAGCGCACCTTTCTGGGGAGACTGGTATCGTTTTAGGTTGCGTCCCGCTACCCTTATTTGTTGCGTGTAGTACGCTGGTCTCGTTTGTGCTGCACTTGTACGCGCACGTTTTGCCAGGGACAGCGGTTTTGCATTCGCTCCTCTTGGCGCAGCCAGTTCTCTCTCGCGTCTCTCTCATTTTCTCTCTCCTTTCAACCATGCATAATTTGTTCCTGATCTGAAAAAGGCTGTGATCTTTTGTGTGACGGTGTGCACGGGGTGCATGACTGAGTGCCTGGGAAGGTTTAGATAACAATATGACCTCTGAAACCAGAAAAATAATAATGGCTACAATTCCCAACCATACAACAACGAACTGATCGGCTGCATCATTGTATTGCAAACAGTTTCCATCTGTTCGAACAACATTCATGATGAGCTTATTTATTTATTTATTTATTTATTTATTTCTGCACCTCGTGGCATGTCAAGACAGCCAATTGAATTGAGGAGAGGGTGAGACCAACCACGGAAGAAGGGAAAAAAAGAAAATTAAGAGCACGTACACAAAGTGGGAAGGGATTAGCAACTTACAAAGCAATGGGATGCTCAGCGAGCTATGCAGCGGAAGCTTGGCAAAAAAGCAAAGCGTAGGGCCCTGAGCGAAAGAAATAAACTTTCTCTTTGTATTCGAGGGTAACACGACACCGTCTACCACATTGATGGCCTAGCCAAAAAAGCATAGATGTTGTAAATTTTGCATTTCTCCTAATTTTTTCAAGACATAACCTAGGATTCGAACCCGCACTACCGCCCTGCCCTGCATGCATTCCCCCGATACACTTAGCATGCATACTCATTCTTCCAAGTTGCTTCACGTTATGATCTTGCATTTGAAAGCCCTATTTGAATATTATGGCCAGCTGTCTTTGATGGTACGGTACGGGACAGGCACGGGATAGCGCCAGGCATGCCGATGGCACAAACAAACACACACCTTGATGATACGGGACGGGACAGGTACGGGATAGCACCAGGCATGCCGATGGCACAAACAAACAAACAAACACGAAATTAAAGCTGTGTGGACCCTGGCTAGCGCCAGACGTTACTGAAGTAACGTCTTTTGACTAGCTACGGGAATAAGTGATTGTTCTGTTGATGATTGTCTCCGTCACCTTGGACAGAATACACAAGAGCGAAACTGGACGGTAATCGGAAGGTAGAGACTTTGGTTTCCATTTGAATAATTCTGGGGACTATGGTGGCAATCTTCCATTACTGTGATACTAATTGTGACTCAAGTGGAGTTTGGCTATAAAAACCCTGCAATCGCCACACAAAGTGGTCATTGCCTACCCCAGCCATGTATTCTTTGGAATAATAAATAAATGAATAAATAGTGCGGTGCGGGTTAAACAATCATACAAATTCATGTATAATGATACTTCGAAGTAGTTTTAAAGAGGCAAGGGGAAAATACTAAACAGTCGCTGCTGGGGCGTTCATAACACCATAGCCGGGTGATATGGACTCTCCAAAGACTTTAGCCTAATTCGAGGGAGTCTCCATTTCGAGGGAGTCTCCATTTCGATATTTGTATTTTGCTTTTCCTCTGATATTCTGTATTTCTAGTTCTCACTTGCCATGTTCCAAAATTGGTTGATGGTAGCCAGAACAATACTGAGCCAGTAATCCAGTATGGAATGACTGTGGCATACACATGTAATGTTGGACATCGCATGTTGGGATCAGCTAGAGCGACCTGCACTGCCAATGGTTTGAGTGCAGAAACCCCTTTCTGTAGACGTAAGTGGAATGTCCTCACTCGTACCAGGTCACCTTTCTGTTCGGTTTTTTAGTTTCAAACATACTTATTGAGTAACAAATTCATAGTAAGCAAAGTTGAACACAGTCCACAGAAGACTGTTTGCGTGGTTTGCGGTGTGATCGTTCAACCTGCATCATTCAAACTTTGCAGGATGGTTCTGACCTACATGCTAGGTATGGACCCACAGGGTTTGATGTCATAGCTGACACACCATGTACCTCACACAGAACATTCGTGTGCACAGATACTTGGTCCGCCAAGTTAAAATTGGAGCTTAGGCCAAGTAAAAAATGGATTGTTTATCGTCCGCGCCCGCCCCGATTTTTCGCCCTCCCAGCCGAATTATTTCATTTTTTAGTTCCAGTAAATGTACTGTATGTACTGCGATCTATGCCTATACGGCCTCCAATCAGCGTGGCAGTAGATATTGGAAGGCCAAGTCCGCAGATTGAATCATGCATGTATGTACTATAGGCTTGAAAGTGAAAGAGATTATCAGCTGCCTGATTCTCTTTGTTGTCCTACGTTGGTTGTTTCACTTTTCCCTATTTGCATCCTCAAAATTATCTTGCAAAATGCTATTCGTCGCTGACGATTCATCTGCACCACATGGATTTATCGCACTCTGTGCAAAATGGCTTAAAAAAAAGAAAAGTGATGAAAGAGATATGTCTAGGGGTTGCAAACACCTACCATACAGCCATATATGCAAAATGAAAAATAAAATAAAATACCTCCCGTCCGCCCCGATTTCTCAGGAAAACCTGACGATAAACAGTCAATATATTTTACATGGCCTTATCTTCGGACTTGATTTTTCGGTGGTCTGCATGTGTCATACGGCATGGAACCACTGAATCACCATCCGAACATAACCATTGACCATTGCATCGGACGACATGGCAGCACAAACCATCACAGAAGTTGCTATCGGTTCGTTTGAGTCTTTTTGACGGAGCTACCACCGACGAACACTTCTGTCAGCGCAAGAAAACGCTGCAACCTCCGCTCGAGTCCGAAAAATAGGTCGGAATTTCAGAGCGATGAAGAATACAGTTTCTCTCTACTTCCAGCTGTCTGGTGTCAAGGATTGTTTGCCGTGGGGAGGTAAAGAAAAGTTGAAAAAGCGCTTCGCGAGCTTGAATTTCAGTGCTGGCACAGTACAGCGCCTAGTGAAGAGTTACCCCCAGCAAATCGCTGACGAAGAAACTGGTGCTCATGTCGACATCTCCAGAAAGTGAGAACAATCCGGCTGACATACTCTGAAGCTCACAGAGGACCGGGCAAAGGAGCTAATCAAAATCAACACCAAGTCCTGAGGGAAAATCTCGTGCAAAGGACGTTCAGGAAACTAACCGAAAAGCCTGGTGCATGGCATTAGGACTTAGGTGCAGTAAGCACAGCCACAGGTGCTACATCAAGCGGAAGCTATCACTGTGCTGCATGTACAAGCACCAGCGTCTCACGTGGGTGCTGATCAGCAAGTACGACAAGCGCAAGAGGCGATTTGAAAAAAAACCCACGCATGTGGCGTGGCATTTTTGTGTCAAACTAAGCCGCATTATTGCGACGAACGGGATAACACTTTCAGCCAACACACAGGCAGTCTCAATCAGCTTCTGAGCGGCAAGGTGACTGGCACACACTGCCTTTGAGCGTGATTTGAGACGAGGCGAATTTGAGCAAGCTATGAAACGTGCAGCAGCTGTCCGGATCGAACGTTTTGAGCGTATGCTTCAAATACAATTATGTATTTCCTTCCTGAGACAAGTGCGAAGATAAGCGCCAATTGTAACTAGATTATTGTACGTCCTCATGTTCTTTCCGCTTGTCTCAAATGTACTTTGACGTGCTATTTCGCCTGACGACATAGGCGATAAAATGATTAAACTGCTAAAACTCAAAAACAAAAAGCTGCAAGTTGTGGACAAACACGTTGAACTTTTTTAAATCTGTTTCCGATTATTTTAATTAAGTTTTTTAAAGACAACATGTGCGCGGTTTACCCACACAATTTTGTACTTTGGCCAACGACGATTCGCACATCAGGAAGTTCTGCAAGCCTGGGTTTGTGTGACTCCCTGTCACAGATCTACTCACACGATCAGCACTGGCTTGTATATATACATCAACTGTTCCAAAAAAGAATGACTTCAGCTCGATTTTGGTCTCGCCTTTAATACTGTACTATGTTGTAACATACATTGGTTACATAAAACCAGGCAGAAGGAACAACGACTCAGCCTATTACCGCGGAAGTACCTCAGGGAAGTATCCTCGGGCCGACTCTATTTCTTATCTACGTCAGCGACATCGACCAATGTCTTACCCCGGAACGCGCCTTAGCGCGTTTGCTGATGACACCACGCTATACAGCCTGTTGCAACCAGGAACTTCTGCTCCCAGAATGCCTCCTTACAAGATGCCCTACATGGCCTTCAAGAGTGGGGTGAGCGGTGGTGGGTGACATTTGAGCCATCCAAGTCACAGCAGCTACTGTGCACACGATCCTTGGACCCAGCCACTCCAGACATCTCATTTGGTGGTGTCGACATTGCCCACGCATCAATACTGAAGCTGTTGGGTATATTGTTCGACTCAAAGCTCACGTTTCGCCAGCACATCAGCAGCATGGCGGTGAGAGCAAGTCAACGTCTTGGGCTTTTGCGCCGAGCCGCGCGGATACTTGACACCAATGGCCGTCTGAGTGTCTACCGAGGATTCATTCGCCCTATGCTGGAGTATGCTCCACTGGTCTGGATGTCTGCTGCCCCGACCCATCTGGCCAGGCTCGACCGCATTCAGTGGAAGGCAATGGCCATCATAGGACCAGATGTGCTCGTCCAGAGTCTGGCTGCACGACGCACTCTCTCTGGGCTGTGCTACATGTACAAGCTTCAGTGCATCGAAAGCCCACAACAGCTGACCAACATTGTCCCACCAGCTGCACCCACTGTGGTTCGTCCACGAACCCGACACACGCATGCGGTGACCCATCCTCACCAGCTCCTCAATACCCTACCACCAGCTGCACCGGAGTACATCAGGCGGTCCTTCCCGTTTGCCCACATCAGTTTGTGGAATCAACTGCCATCCTCCCTGTTCCAGCCACCAATGTCCCTGCAACGGCTGCACCGCTTCAAGGCAGCTGCATGGAAAGAATTGCTACACACTGACTGGCTGTGGGCTACAGACCACCTCTGAAAGCCACTGCTGCACACACCTGCGACGAAGTTGCCAGCCACTCTGGTCTAGATTCACCCTGCCGTATCACTCGAGAGCTACCCACACATCTCTCAATCTCCCCCTTTTTTCCACTATTATTATTCCCTTCTTGTTTGTTTTGCCTTATTTTTTTATTTCATTCTTTTGTCTTAAGTCACTTTCTTATGTTGGCTCATTATAATTATACTTATGATTAATTTTGATGCATACATGACACTGTAAAACAAAACTTGAAATGTTATTCGTACTTCAAAATAGTTGTCCAACACTGACAGTGAAAAGTGTTTTGTTTGAATCCATAGCCTGTCTCTCCAACCGCGCTGCCAACACAAAGAAAAAGAAGTACCGTCAGGCCTTTGAGGTCCTCCGTGCCGGTCTTTCACACCAATGGTGTGTTCCACGGATGGGGTGCTGCATCGTGAATACGCCAGCTAGCAGAAGGGACTTGCAAGTCGCCTTGCCCTCAAGTGGGACAAGCCCTTTTCAATTATCATGGCTTGGGTGCGAATTCGTACCCAATTTGCAGTGTTCCATGCAGTCGACCTCCGGCTAAGTGGGGCAAGAAGGCGCCTGACTTGCCTGTTGATGCAGGGTGGTGCTGTGGTAGGCATCGGCCATTGAGAACTGAATTTCGTCTGTTTTACGTGAAATTTCTCGGAGATTTCCAATGTATTTTACTGGAACAATATTCTATTTTACGTTTTCATGGTATCTCTATTTTTTCACATCTACATGAATTTATCTTGCCCATAAAAGAGGCCGTTACCCCGTCAAAAAAAGAAAAGAAAAAAGTCTGTCTGTACATGATCCGAGGCTGTACGCCATACGCTGCTCTGTGTGTACTACACATTATACATGCATGCAGTGTACACTGTTGTCAACTGCTTTGTCACGTGTGCATTATTCTGTAGTGTTTGGTGTAGAGCACGTAATCTATTCTGCTAGCGACCGTTGGCCTGTACGCCAGCTATGACAGTTATTGGTCTCCTGATTTCGAATAGTTCCTCGCTTGTCGTTCTGAAGATAGTTGTAACAAGTTGTGCTCTTGCTCATGTAGTTCTCTGTCGGTCTTGTTCTGGCGAATACAGTCTACTCGCGATAAGTCGCGCACAGTGTCCTGGAATAGAAAATGCGCGACTTACCGCGAGTGCGCGACTTACATTATGCACCACGTCATGCATATGTACAGCTGTCATTTTTTCTTCTGCATAATGGACATGTGTGCTGAACACGCGTACAAGCACTGAGCTGCATGCGCACGGTACACTGTACTGTCTAGACTGTAGTCTACACTGACCGTACACTGCTGCTGGACACGAGACGTAGATCTACCACAGCGTGAAGCCATGATCGCTATGAAGGATGATCGAAAAAGACAAGTAACGACGTTCCGTTACTTTTGCCGTTTTGGTAGGGATTTGACAAGACCCACTTCTGTTTCCGTCGTGTGAACACTTCGTTTCCCTTTGCTTGACGATGCCTTCTCATAAGAAAACGAAAGAACAGCGAACAGTGGCTGATCGACTGCGTTTGGTTCGTCTCTATCGTGAGAGTTGAAAAACCTCCGCTCGAAAATTTGCGAAGTTGAACAATGTTCCGGAGGCGATGTTCCGCGGCTGGCTGAGGGATGCTGAAGCTGGCACACTCGCCGATGCTAATCCGTCTGGTCCACAGGGAGTCCGCAACAGAAGTCCCAAGTCCGGGAAAATTGAGGAGCGGCTAGAGAAGTATATTTTGCTTCGAAGGGAGAAGTTTGTGACTGACAATTATTATTATTATTATTATTATTATTAGACACAATCTCATAGCATGTGACAAGCATAGCTAATGCAGGGACAGAATCCCCTGAGACAAGGGCGTTGAGCCAGCCACGGCAATAGTAAGCTAGGAAAACAAAGCAAATATGAATTAAAGCATAAAATGAATGGAAAATTACAAAGAAAAACGATTAACGGAAGTGAGCACTATCAAAATTCGTGCATCACGACAAACTTGGATTGTCGTGGGTGATCCTGAGGGAGAAGGCTCTCATGCACATAAATTATATTCTTACCTTTCACAGTATTCAAGCTCCATCATTGAAAACCACATCATTCGCAAATATTCACGAAATCCACAAAATCCCGAAAAATAAAAAATCTTGAGATGGGTTTCCTGGATGAAAAAATGCGTGACTTATCGCGAGTGCGTGACTTAAAAGTGCGTTACTTATCGCGAAAAGACTGTATGTTCTTCGTTTTGCCATCATTATCTTTGTTCCCTAATTGCAGTTATAGAGTGCTCTGTACCGACTATTGCCAATGGCACTTCCAATGCGACTTCAATCTCATATTCCGAAACCGTTAAATTTACTTGTAGTAGTGGCTTTTGGATGCGCGGGTTGGCAACATCAAACTGCACCTCTAATGGTCTGGCTGCTGTACCCGAATGTTTAGGTAAGCCCACTCTCTTCACATTGGCAAGTGTTTACACTGAGTCTTCAGATGTTGCAATCAATATGATAATGGTATGTCAAAGGAGAACGGAAAAGGACATATGGATACGAGCAAGAGTAACTGTCAACCACTGTTACTACATACTACCGGTATATATGTAGGACTCAGTATAGAGTCCATGCACTATATGATGTCCAGCACCCTATATAGAGTCCATTGGTCCAAAATCCACTATACAGAGTCCAGGAGTCCACTCAGTTTTGATCAGCTTCATCCTGCCGCGCAATCCCCTATAAGGAGTACACTTTTTCTGCAAGTCCCCTATTCACGGTCCAGGAGTCCAGTTCCTGTCTGTTGTGCCCGAAAGAGAACAAACACCTTCTCAGTTTTGCTTGCCTCGTGGCAGCGCTTTCCTTTCTTCACTTCAGCCATGGCTGCCAGTTCTGCTGTGCAGTTGCTGACAGTAATCTGTCTCGAGGTAACCAAGGAGGATAAAGGAGACGTTCAAAATCAAATCTGGAAAGCGTCTTGTGGTTCTCTGAAGACGTTTCATCAGTGCGCGGGATGAAAGCAGAAATAATTGCAGAACGAGAAAAGTTCAAATCTGACGAGTCAGGTACACTGACACTCTCTTTCGTTCGACGCCACAAGGATCCCCTGTTTGGCTGGCCACTGCTGCCAGTAAGACGTTTGAACGGTTTCATCAGAGCGAGGGATGAAAGCAGAAAGCGGAGAACGAGAAAAGTTCAGCACAGTTCCAATCTGACACTCTCTTTCGTTCGACCCCACAAGGATACCCTGTTGGACTGGACAAGAGCTGCCTGTACCACCGTGTCAAAAGGCTGTCCAACTACATTGCAGGACGATGACTGAGGTAAGGAAGCTTTTACTCGTTTCGATTGGTCTGCTGTTCTGTCGTTATGCTTGAATTTTTTCCATTTTCAAGGAGCGTATCGCGTTTGTTTGATGTTGCTTGAATGAATGCCCTAAAAGTAATCAACCAATTCGTGATAGTCCTCAAGGACTGCAAGGACTTTGCATCAATCGTGTACGATCGTCTAGCTATCATCAATTATTTTACTTCATGAGAAATGTATTTTTTCCTGTGATAAATATATGAACTCCACGACACTCTTCCTCTACTAGGCTCTAGACTAGTATGATGTCAAATACAATGGGATCCACAAACGCAGTGCCAGTGTACTAGTAGTAGTAGTAGTAGGAGGAGGAGGAGGAGGAGGGTTGCTTGTATGCCGATGACAGGAAAAAGCTTCAAGCTAATACTCGTATTCCACGAAGTAACCGTTTTGATGTCACAAACATGACATTGTGTCAGTGAAACTGCCTCGTGACCACAAATCATTGCATTTCCATCTTGGGGAAGACTGACTGACGGCAACGCTGTACAGATTGTTCAAATCATCTCATTTCAATTTAGTTGCAGTGAAGTGAAACACTGTGTACAATACATGTATGTTGGTGTGTCTGTGCGTCTTGAGTGTGCACAAACGATCTTATTCCTCGTATTACTAATAGATTATTGTCCCCACCGTCACCTGTTCACAGGTCTTTGAGTGGATGGATTTTCATTGAGCATCACATTCGTTGAGAACTTGGTAGTTGTGTGCTCCCATGCATCATTACGGTAATAAGCGTATCCTTGTGCTATCTATTTGTTGCAGGTGTGCTGATCTTCAGAAGCTTGCGGATCTGAGTGCTGCTGAACATTTGCATGGCCATTAGCAATGGTGAAGCTTGCTATTGCACTCTCAGCATGTGCTAGTATTATGCTGACTACTACACTATGTTACTCTCTTACACTACTACATGTATGTAAACGTGCGTGCAGCCGCCCACGTATGCATTCGTGTCGTATAATTATTTGTTATCCCTCTTGACTTTACGTGTAAATGGGTGGACGTTTGCATGGCTGTTGGAATTGCGTGTGTATTGTGTCTCTACTCTTTTCTTGGTGTTTTCTTGGCGTTGTATAAGTTTGTGTGTGTGTGTGTGTGCACGCGCGCACGCACAATAATTTGAAAACAAATAATTAATCCTTGGCTCTCCATTATTCTCTTTCGATTCTTGGGTTTTTTGTAGGTATTTTCTTGGCGTTGTGTGGGTGTGTGCATGTGTGTGTGCGTGCACAATAATTTGGCAACACTACATGATTGAGATATTGTAATTTGCAGCGTCTGCGAAGAGACCACTTGATTTGAGGATGGTGTTTGTAGGGTTTTTCATGTAATGAAGTGGCTGCAGTGGCGCCTCAATACTTATTTTTTATCTTGAGAAGTGAATGATGTAAAGGATTAACCACTAAAGGGAGAGGCCGTTTTCTGGTTATTATTCACTGCTTACAGCAGACCCTATGTCTAATTTCGAACTCTGGATAGGGGATGCCTAATTGGCTAGACTTTATACAGGGAGTGTTGTCCACATAAAGACTCTTTATAGTTGATTTCAAAGTTTGGACTCCGTACAGTTGATTTTGGACCAATGGACTCTATATAGGGGTGAAGCCAATTGGCTGGACTCTATACAGGGAGTAATGTCCATCTAAACTTTGAGCTCACAGTTGATTCCAAGTTTGGACTCTGTACAGTGGATTTTGGACCAATGGACTCTATATAGGGGTTGGACATCATATAGGGGCTGGACGCTCTACTGAGTCCAACATATACACTGTGGAAGTGAAACAACTAGGCACACAACTGACCGAGTACTAAGCCAGTTTTGTGCCTAGTTTTCTGCACTTCCTGACTGTATATTATAGAATCTAGTTACAGTCGTCGACAGTTACTCTTTTTTAAACTCGAATCGGTAATGTCCTTTTCCTACATTTATTATTGGCTCAACATCCGAGTTACAAATATGTCAACGTGTTTGTGATAAATCCAGCCATAAGAATTAACGGGCTTTTCATTACTTTCCACAACATTGACATTGGCACCGAGAGTTTGTATGCATGTAGAACAAGATAGGTGTGCTTGAAATCATGCACTGACTTGCTAACATCGCACCAAACAACAGAAGACAACTACACTAGAGTACAGTGACCAATGCATAAAGAGTCGCATATTGGATGGAATCGAGGCATATTGCGTAAATACAAGATGCCAAACAATTGCATCAAAATTTCAACTTGTGTCAGATCCTATTACGCGCTTTTGCTTGTCTACTCGCGACCAGCGAGGGTAGTGTTGATTGAGAAGACCAGCAACAGCCATCTGGTGAGGAATTTCACCTGTCTTGGTGATTTCTGGCCATCAGTGCGCTCGCTCTTGCTCACGCTGCTTGGAGAGCGACGACGGCAATAGTGTCAGCGATGGAAATTTCATTTTGATTCAGACCCTGAGGTTCTATCACGGCTACAGCTCTCTCCAGACGCTCGCCACCACTTGTAAACATCGACAACAGCTGCAGCAAGCTATATTCCTGCTACAGTCAAGTCTGTCGTAAGCGACCGCCCCTTGGTGCAAGAAAAAGTGGTCTCTTACAGCAGATGGTCTCTTACGGCAGATGTATGGTAAATCCGGCATACCGGGCATTATGCTTCCATGTACTCAAATCGACGAGAACAATGTGATTTTTAATATCATTTATTGGATATTTTTAGGAAACTTAAGGCCATATGCCACGTACTGCTCTTTTCTCTGCGAATAGCAAGGTCCCTAGTTCGAGTCCCGGTGGTGAGACTGATGATTTTTCTTTCTTTCATATCTGGCTTGCAAGTGTTGAGTTTCGGAGAGAAAAGAGCAGTACGTGGCATGTGGCCTCTTATTTCCTAAACCTTTGAAATTCTCCGTGAAGTCCAAATTTGAAATTGCAATTTATTGGATATTCGATAGAGTATAGGGGTGCACAAAACCAAGAATAGTGCACATACCCGGGCTAATCTGTTTTTGAAGCATACAGGAAGGTTGTTTCACTACAACTGCGTGCGTACATGTACATGTGTACGAAGTCTACGGTAAGTGTGGCGTGCATACCTGCTCGGCGACCATGCCCGTATACGCGTATGCGACACGGCAGTAGATTGACACTGCCTGGACTTGAGAGCTACAGCGCAGTCTCAGTACAGGCCAGGGCCAGTCGATCGCACTTGCAAGACAGCGTATTTTTACGCCTTGCAGTTGACAGCGCAGTGGCAAGTACAGTTTTGCACCTGACTGAACCTGGGTCAGGTTACAGCAGATTTGAATGCAGCCACCGTGCATGAAATCGCGGTCGCTGGTCGCGCACAGCAGATGGTCACTCTGGACAGATCAGTTTGTTTGTGAAACCGTCGGTGCACGGAAAATCGGTCGCTAACGATAGATGGTCGCCTACAGCAGAGGTCGCTAACGGCAGATGGTCGCCTACAGCAGAGGTCGCTAACGGCAGATGGTCGCCTGCAGCAGAGGTCGCTAACGGCAGATTTGACTGTACAAGCAGTGTACCTATACGAAAACATGATCAAGATAAGGGTTGCAATAAAGAGAAAAAGCTGAAGCGTCATTTCACAAAGGTTTTATTGATACATGTATGTCACGAACAAAATCTAGAGAAATTCTAGAGAAATTCTAAAAATGTCCAGAGATGGATTTTCATACTTGGCCCGTTTCATCGCAATTGTCGCTTATCTATGCATACCATTGCCGTCCTTAGACCAACACCCTTGCCTCCCGAATGCGTTTCGTGCTCCGATAATAACCACAGCTGGAGTGCGCAAAGCTATTGCGAAGCTTAAGCTTAACAAATCGCCTGGTATGGACGGCATCTCCAATGAAGTTGTTAAGGCTCTAGCACCATCATTATCATATCCTTTATGTCTTCTATTTAATTTGTCTTTCAGAAAAGGGAAGTTTCCATCGACATGGAAAGTGGCCAAAATAACGCCGATATTTAAGGGCAAAGGTAGTAAAGCTACTCCTGGAAATTACAGGCCAATCTCTCTCTTATCATGCATTTCAAAATTATGTGAACGAATATTTTATGATCAGTTGTATAGCCATGTT